TGAAGAAGATCCATGTCAGCGCCGGTATGTGGCGCCGCTGGGGAGGCGCGGGAGGGTGGGCTGGGGCCAGGCCTGGGTTCAGGGTCAGGGCGGGGGGTCGGGGAAGGGGACCTCGGGAGGGGAACCCTCATCTGGCCCGGGCTGCTGTGGGGTACGGGTGCCCGCGCGCCTGTCAGCATCCTGATCCCAACGTGAGAACCCTTTTGTACCCAGGGTCCCTTTATCGGGAGATTTACGAGACGCCAAACCGTTAGGGCAGTAATTATAGCCCCCATAAATTTAATTGCCCTGGCAGAGGCTTCGGGCCATGTGTCTTTGAAGCTTTTCTTCAGCCCCAATGCCCAGCACCATTCTTTATGGCTCTCGGGTGTTTCCCGTTGTCAATAGCCTGTGAAACATTTTCTTTGCGGTTTTATGTATCTTTCGTGAACTTGGTGTCAGCTTATTATATAATGATGATGTCCAATTGCTCTTCCCCACCCTATCTTCTCTCTCCTCCTTTCTCTCTCTTCCACTCCCTCCTTGGCCTTCTCCTTCGGGGTTCTGGGTGCTTAGTCAACCCCAGTTATAACGGAGGGGAACCCAAGCGCTCTCGAACCGCCTATACCCGGCAGCAAGTCTTGGAGCTGGAAAAGGAGTTTCATTTTAACCGATACCTGACCCGGCGGCGCCGCATTGAGATCGCCCACACGCTCTGCTTGTCTGAACGCCAGGTCAAGATCTGGTTTCAGAACAGGAGAATGAAATGGAAGAAAGATCACAAACTGCCCAACACCAAGATGCGATCCTCCAACCAAGCCTCCACCTCAGCCTCTTTGGCCTCTTCGGGCCCACCAGGAAAAGCACAAACTCAGAGCCCGCACCCCCACCCTCACTCTCTCCCTGGTGCCTCCACACCCATTTCCTCCTCCATATAATCTTCCAGATACCTAGTTCAATTTCTGTCCCTTACCTGCTTTTCTCTTCTACCCATTTCCCCATCTACCCCTCTCCTGTCTCTCCACTGTTACAAACACCAAAATAAAACTCAATTTGGTGAAAAGGATAACCAAAAAGAAGACATTATCCCCGGTAAGAGCATGTGATATTTGCCACCCAAAAGAGGACAGTTGTTCAGGAGGCTGTTTAGTGGAACAATCTGCTGGCCTGAAGAAGGCTGCCAAGTTTGGATACCTGAGAAGGACCGCTTGGCATCAAATACGTTTGAGATGTCTAAAGTCAGCTGGACAGTGCATGCTGACTGGGGACCTGTATATTTGTGCAAGCAGAGGAAAACAGACCCTTTCCTGTCTTCTTTGCCTTTCCCTCAACCACTAAGGCAGCTCATATAAGCCTGTAATGAACTGAATAAATGAGTAGATACTGTGGACTTCGAGAGATTATTTAATATTCAAAATGTGTAGACCTTGATGGTAGGTGTGACTGTTAGTTTCCCTTCCTTGCATTTATTTAAGATATTGTTATTGAGATACTGTTGTCTTATCCTGGGGAGCTATCTCTGGGGAGAGGGGGATGCATTTAGATCCATGTGCAACTGTACAAATTGTGATATGGCTGTATAGAAAGCCATGTGCTAAGAATAAACTTCATTTTAAAAATATTAAAAATTGAAGAGATAGATTTGTGTGTTTCCTAAACTTGTCATTAAAAAACCAAAATCCTCTGGATGAGATGCTTGAACTTGCATGTAAAAACCTTGTAGATGGTTGAGCTGTGTTCATGTGGATTCTGATTGCTCACATAATTTGTGTGTGTGTGTGTGTGTTCAACTTGAGCTGAACTCTTGTCAAGCTTGACCCTCTGTGGAAATGTTCCAAAGAGCAAGAAGGCTCTTGAGCTCTGAGAGGACTCCTTTTCTTCCCAAACTTGGCCAGGCTTTCAGGCCTCCAGTCTCTGTAAGGCTTAGGAACGTGTCCTTCCCTGGAATGAAAGGTGAAACCATGTAGAGCAGTGGGCCCAGGAGTTTCTGCAGCTGTTCAGCACACTGAACTCTGAGTACACTTGGAAAGAAGTGGTCCCTTTGGTATTTGTTGCACCTTCACACTTAATCTGCCTGTTTCCCTGGAGATAAAAAGTAGTTTGTACAAAGGGTTGTGATTGCTTTTTGTTTCTTGGCTGATCTTGAGGGCCTCTTCACTAAGTACAGCTAGGAAATTTTTTTGTTTGCTTATTTATTTTTTTGAAAGAAATCTTTCTAAGTAAAATACATTTTCCTAGTACACCCTCCAAAGTATCTTCTGAGAAAATAAAAAAGCACAATGATACCCAAAACACACCTCAAGCAAAGTAGATCTGGAAGTTTACTGTTGGAGGAATGCCAAACTCTGAATTATGGTCACTTTTCTTAAACGCTTTGGAATCTTTCTGCTTACTTCCAGAAATCTAGATCCACATGGTAAAAATAACTTATTTCTCAATTACCATAAGCCTGGTGTTTTTATACTGATTTAAACCTAATACTTAAGGCAGAAAGTATGCTGCAACATGATACAGGAAAAAAATGCACACTAAGGCTATGATAGTAGAATTGTCAATCTGCCTTGAAAAGGTGCAATTTTTAGGTCAGTAGTAATTTTAATGAAAATGAGAGGGTGTGTTCACCTATCTGCAATGTCAGGAATTTAAGACCCATTTTCCTTCGTGGTAAAACCCTTAGCTGGTGTCAGTGCTGGTACTCCACTCTGCTGCACTACATGTGATACAAGCAAGGTTGGCATCAGGTTTGAGAGAGAAGTGATGGGTGTCAGGAAAATTCAGGGGCAAACACACACACACTTCCTCAAATTAGGAAAAAATCTGGCATAAAGTGCATTTTATAAGGTGTGAACGGGTGCCAGGCATTTCTGGAGGCAATGCAACTGCTGCTGAAACTTATTAAACCTCCCCCTATACACGCACTTGTAAAACGAAATTAAATCACGCTGAAAATAGCAATTTTCCCAGGAATCATTAATCACCTCATACAATAAATACTTCTTTGTAATTCAACAGCAATTCTGAAAGGCATTCTCTGGGAAAAGTCTGTGAAGGAGAGAGAGATCTTCTTGCAAATAATGTCTCAGCCAAAGACATAGCATCTTGGCTATTTGCTCAAAAAGAAAAAAAAAAAAACAAAAAACCTAGACTCTTGGAAATTGAGTGTCAAGCTGCAAAACCTCAAATGGCAGATTATCATCATTTAAGGTAAATTCTTATATTTGTCCTTTGTGGGGAGGAAGAGTATGGGGGAATTCATTAACTTCCTGCTGGAGGCAGTATTATGAAGGTAAAGGGAGTGATTTCTTTTGCTCTTATAGTCTATCCAGAATTGGAGGAGAGGGTTGAGACCATTTTTGTGATATTCTAGAATAAAATGGCATTTTTTTCAAAATGTTAAGATATTGGTGAGCTTTATAAACCAAAATTTCAAAAGTAATCCAACTGATTATGTAATTTCTTCACAATGTTTTGTCTGTTTCACATTTTGTCTTTAAGGGAGCTTGTAATAACAGCTTAGGAAATCTCACTTTGTGCTTCAAAATCGTGCATTGTCTGCCCTCTGCTAGGGCAACCACAAGAGTTCACTGAGGGGACAAATTTTCTATCTCATTAGTTTTTTTTTAAGGTAAACCTTACTAACCCCTCAAACCCTTGACCTTTAAAGACAGTATTTTATGTAAGCTCTATATTTCTCCTACTATGATGACCTTTACAATGCTCTCCTGCTCTCCCATCTTTATCCCTCCCTCTCTTTAATACACACTCATCTGCTTTAGTCACAGAGCCAAGCTGTACATGACTCCAGAGATAAAAGTTTAGTCAACATCTGAAATCAACCTAAATCGGGTAGGAGACACTTTAATGGTCACAGTTTGAATTAAGTACTTAACACTCTCCCCCTTGAAGAAAAATGGCACTTTGCTGGCTTTCTTCCCTAGTTTTGCTGAAATCTACCATATACCCGGTGTTTTATTACAGCAGGAATTCAACTGTGACAGGCATAGTAGAGTACTTAATACCCAGGATGGAGCTCATGGGAAGATTCCCTAGATATATGGGAGTAGGCCTGCCGAACAGTATCTGCCTTTCTATCCAGCTTTCCCAGGGTGCCTCATTCCCTCTACTTTTCATCCTTCTTCCCATGGGATGGGAATCATCCTATCTCCTGAGCCCCTAGATCCCCCCAAACTTCCAAACTGTGTTGCTTTTCTTACCGCTGCCTTCCTTCTAGTAGTGCCAACACAGAAACAGATCAACAACTCTCTAAAATGAAAGGAAACCTCCAAAGAATAAATGAAGCAAATAGAAACCTGGGGCTTCCCATTTGAATGAGAGGATTCTGTGCAAGCAACAGGGCCTCTTTGGCACCTCCTTGGTCTCTGCATTCCTGGGCACTGTCTGGCATTGAACAATTCAAGCTCACCTTTCCTAAGTGATGCACCTGATACCTGTTTTCCACAACATAGTGCTCCAAGAGTAACTGCTTTGCACCTCAAAGCACAAGCTCTCCAGAAACAATGGAGGGAGGAGAAGGAGGTGAAGGGAGGAGAGAAGGAAGGAGAGGAGAGTGGGGAGGAAAAGGAAGAGGAATTGTGTCTTCTGTCTCCTGGATAGCATTAAGTTGTAAAACCTTTTAGTCTGCAACTTCTAACTTGTAATTCTGGCATCTCTTTTGAAGGATCCAGACTCACTCAGCACAGCACACTCTCCCCCCTTTCAGGCCAGCCCTCTTCTCTCTAGAATGCTTCCTAGAGCTAAAGAAGAGTACTGATTGAAAGACTGTCCAAGTTGAAAGAGACCTGGAAGCCATTTGCGATCAGTCTTCTCAGTTTACATATGAGGAAACTGAGGCAGTTGAATATTCCACTTCCTGATGTTTCTCGTGTTAATGAATGTGTAGTCTGAGAAAAGCCTTTAATCTCACGTTGGACATAGATATGGTAAGCTCAGTCATTTTTTCCAAAGCAGAAGCTATTCCTCCAAGAGAATGGGATATAGTACATATCTGGGTTGACCCTTGATGTGCACTGCTACAAGTGTGTGTAGCCTGGATTTAGAAGGGTAAGTTATTACCCAATGTACCCGCAAAGCTGCCCTGGGATCATGTAACCAAACTGTCTTAGACTTGGCACTCAGACAGGTGGCTGACCACTGGTCTCAGGGGCTGTTGGAAGCTTTGGAGAGCAGTGAGCTCCCTATAGTCTGCAATGCTCCTCACCCCAGAATGACTAATTCTGCTCTGTTGTCCCTGTAATTTCTTTGGCGGTTGCTCACCCCATCAGCACAAGGTGAATGCGTTCTGGAGGCCTAGGGAACAAAAAATACAAACAGACCCTGGTTGCAGCTGATAAAGGTGTAACTCCTTTTCGCCTGTTCGAGGGAGATATTGAAATTGTAATCTCCGAGGTCACGTGACTCATTAAATAATTAATGCAGATCGTCAGGAATGGAACGGAGTAGTCAGGGCCTCACTAGGGATGAATCTCTCCGAAGTGAGACTCCAACTTCCTATTTGATTTTTAAATACACGCATCCTCAGATTTATCTTCAAAGGCTTTAAGGCTTTTAACTCCTTCAGGAAGGAAGGAGAGAGCCCTTTGGCGAGGAGAACCAGAGCTGGTGGGCTCAGGCTGGGACCTGGTGCTTTTCTGCAGGGTTTCTGCAAGTCCAGGGAGCGCGCTGTGTCGGGGGAAACGTGAGTTTGGGCTCGGCTTTTTTTTTTTTTTTTTTTTTTTTGTTTTTTTTTTTTTTTTTTTTTTTTTTTGTGGTCACATCCAGGCTTTTGTGATGAAGTGGGACGGATGCACAGACAGTTGGTAATGTTCTGATTCACGCTGGGGAAGGCTGCAGAGATACCACAGGACGGGCGCGCGGCTTTGTTCAATTTTCCGGGCGTTCATAAATCAACAGCGCCGGGTGAGTGAGGGAGCAAGCAGAC